AAAACCCCAAAACCCCAAAACCCCAAAACCCCAAAACCCCAAAACCCCGTAAAACAAAGATACATGAATTAAGAAATTATGATAACTTACTAAAATACATAAATATAGTTATGATAACTTTAGAGTCTAATGATGATATGGTGTTAGATAAGTATAATTTCAAATACACAAAATGTTCGATACCTTGTCTGGAATTTCAAAATTCATTGTTAGAATCTTAAATATTATTATTACTTTTATCTGGATTGCTTCCACCCATCATCTCCTTAAGTACCTTTTTATAGAGAGGGTTCTTTTTAATCTTAAACTGTTTATTATTTGCACTTATTATGTATTCAGACCTGAAATTGGGATACTTGAAATTAGGCTGTTCAACTTTATCGAGGTTCCAAAGTTTTTCCCACATATTTTCATTGTTTGAGTACCCATCGACAGGGTGAATTCTCTGATTTTTCCTTGACAGGATTGTATCTTCTCTGTCATTCCTCCTCGAAGTCTAGAAGTGCAGGGTTGGAGTATGATTTTCATCGGTGGACATTTTGGCTAAGTTAGATTCATGAATACTTTGATAATTTTCTTCTTCAATCTAGTCAAGTTATAGTTAGTTGTTGTTGTTTGAAAGTTGATTTTAGCCTAGTTTAGATGACTTCGAAGAATTCTTCAAAGGCGATGAGATACCAGTAGAGTTTGTTGCGTTGTTCAAGGCATTATTACTTTGCTTCTTAGGCTTGTTCTTTTTTATCTTAGGGAATGTGATATCTATAGTGAGCTTAAGCATATCTTCAATCATTCTTGGTAGATATATCTTTAAGAGTTCACTTGATTCTTCAATGCAAGGATTGGTATTCACTTCAATAAGCCAAACATTATAATCCTGATCTAATATGAAATCATAGCCGAACAGCTCGAAGCAATGCTTTCTCTTGAAGGGATCAATCTTCTTTCTGACTGAAAACATACTTTTAATTATCAGCTCCTTCATTTGAGGAATAAGATCTTCTTTCACTGAAATATGACACTTTTTCTCGCCTGGCATAGGATATAATTCATCTAGCATTTATTGGAATCTCTTGTACCCAAGTTAGTTACCGTCTTCAAACTAGCCATAATGCTCTGAGAACTTTTAAACTGCATTGTTAGTCAAATGCACATATTAGTCATCCACATTTTTAAGATCAATTTTGAATTCTGAGCTGGAAGTTCTTAAGTAACCTTCTTTAAACATAAATAAGTCGTAATCATGCGTGAGTAGTACCCAAACTCTAATGTCAAATTTTCTTTGGTATAAAAGCAGTGGCTTTTCAATGTATTTCTGAATGATAAAGGTATTATGCTTGATTTTATATCCATTATTCTTCTTTGGAGATAATTTTTTCTTAGACAGCAATAATGGGTCACTTTAAAATGTACCACCAGCTTCATGTTGCTAGAAATTATTTAGATTGTCATTTTCTTCCATATACTCGGCCTAATCAATCTAGTCTTAACTGTCATCTAGTCCAACATTCTTCTAAGGACTATTGGGGTTATTAGAATTCTTTTTGGCTACCTTCACTTCCTCATCTTTGCCAGAGCAGTACTCCTTAACGAGCCTATGCAAATCATCCAGGTCTCTAAATACATGAATACCCCTTCCTCTATTCAAATGAGTAGGCTTTAAAAGCCACAGATTGAAGCCATTGAAGTGAGACATAGGACATATGTACTTTGTGTATGAACGCTTTTCAAAGTTGAATGTCTTAAATTTCTTCATTTGCTTGTTCCCATCCTTCTAATTACCAATGACCTTATTATTGATTTAAGACAGGAATTCTTTTTCCTTGCGTTCTGAGACACTTGGGGCATTTGCAGATGACCCGTTATTTGAGTTAGAGTTTTCACCTGTCGAAGCAGTCTATTCACCTTCTTCTTCAATATTATCTAAAGCTTCAGCACCTTTTATTTAGTTAAATTTACTCTTGAAATCCTGAATCTGCTGGTCAATGTCACGAATTTTATTCTTATTTTCTTCTAGTAATTGATATACCTGGAAGAACTATTGCATACTCTAGTTATATTGCTAGGTCTTATCTATGTCCGTGATCTCAACATAGAAGGTTAAAGGGCAAGTGTCAAATATATTCTCCTTATAGATCTCACAATGCTGCTTCATTTGATGAAACAAATTCGCCTTCTCACTTATCAAGTGATGAAACTCAAAGTGATTAACCATTTGTCTAGTTTAGACATTATCTGAGACTGCAGACTACTGATTAGGCTAGTTATTGCTTTTGCCTATTGTTGATTACTGCTGCTAGAAAGTGTTGTACTAATTACCTAAATTACCTATCTCGCCTGGCTTAGGCTTAATTGGAGAGAGGCGTTCGAATTTGATACCATAAGATACTGGCTGCCATTTGAAGTTGTAGAGAGAGTGCACTGGAGGTATCTCTATCCACCAATCTCTACGTTCAATAGCTTTTCTAATCAATCCAGAATTGTTTCCTGGAATTACTACGAACTTATAGCAGTCCTCAACATAGGCGTTTGCAAATGGAATCTTAGATTTTTTAGGTACTACAGTATTAGGTGCATTTAGCACACTATCCTTAGCAGCCTTTAGAATTTCTTCAAATTGCAGTTGTTACTGCGCACTTAGACTAAGACCCAGCTAGGACATGGACTGATAATATTGACTCTTGATGCCTTGATTGTTACCTTCTTGCTAGGGATGATGTATATGATTAGATGTTTGAATTAAGTCTTGAGTCTGCAATAAATATGGAGGTATTTGTTGATGTTCTAGAAGTTCCTGGATGATTTGCTATTTCATGGCATCTTCATGAGCATATTCATACTACATATGGAGTTTTTGATAATTTTGATCTAAAATGTAGTTATTTTGGAGAAGTCCAGCTGATCCTCCTTTTTTATATTGCAACAAGCTCTTTGGGTCTAGTTTAGCAAAAGCTGTTGGCTAACCTATTTGTTTTCCATTTATAGCAACAGGCTAATCATAGAAGTAATATCCTCCCTGAATTGACCCAAAGTTACCAGGCTTCTAGCCTTTTTGCATAACGTATTAGGGATGAGCTTGTATTTAGTTACTCTGATTTCTATTGTTTTAAGAGTGATTAAATCTTGCTGGAATGACAGCAAATCCAACATGACTGTTTTGCTGCAGCTACTATTGCTATAATTACTGCTAAAGGTAAGCCTATTGATTATGAATGGCATAATGATACTAAGGGTTTTTATTATAGAGTTGCTTGTGCTGGAGAGAGTGATTGTCATTTTTGTAAAATTAGATGTCGAATATAGAGAGTGGACAAGTATTTTATGATTAACTATTCTATTGTTGCTACATTTGCTGATAAGCAAGATGCTATTGGTAAGACATCCCAGTTGGCATTAACTAAGTATTAGACTGAGGTATCTTTTAAGAGTGGTAAACAGGAGACTTCTAGGCAATTATCTTGCCATTCTTTTAAAGCTAGATGTTAGGATTGTGAGTGGGCTTCTGACTTGACTATGATCTGACGACTGTGTTTGATTAATTTCTAATGTTATACAATTACTAAGGATTATTGATAAGTCCTCTTTACTTAGTCATGTTAAGGAGTCCATTGATGCCAACTTAATGTGCAAGTTAGTGTTAATTATTATTGTTGTTGATATTATTATTAAGTCTCATATCCTATTGCAGTTTCAAGGATTGCTGATATTGCTGAGATTAAAGCACATGCTAGAACTGCGTGTTTTATTGCTGACTTAGAATGCTGCTCCCGTGACTTTAGTTTAAATTCGAAGGATAGTCTTGGATTTGAGAAGATTAATGAGGAAAGGTAGAGCCTTAGTTTGTAGTCATTTTTGCTACAATTTTAGAGGGGGATCCATCTGTAGTTCTTATATCTGTATCAATGGCATTATAGCTTTACAGAGATCCATGATTCAGGAGTATCTAGGACTAATGCATATTATTTATACCTTGAATTTGAATCTGAGCATTGCTATTGTTAATCTACTATTTTTTCTAGGCATTCATCGCCATTGGAATCAAGCTCTTCGATCCACCTTGAATAACTTACTGATTTTTATTTTATTTTCCATTATTGTTTCCATGTTGCCAATGCTATTGCTATAGCTATTAGTACTATTAGTCGCTGCGAGGATTGCTAGAATACTGTTGATTTAGTTGCATTTACTCAGGTTATGATGATTTAACATGAAGTGAATTTTATCCACTAGTATAAGGCCTTCCACGTTAACTTTAAGCAGTATTAACAGTAATAATGGATGAGCCATCACGTTTGTGTTATTTTAAACTTTGATTTATTGCCTAAGTCTCACGGTCGCTATCCTCAATCAAATTGTGATTGCTTTGTAACGAATATTTTTTATGAGTGCTTGAAGTATTTTTGTTCTGTGGACTGGACATCGTGATTACCTTCGAGTTCTAAGCCTGCAGTGGGTTTTGCTAATTTATTGGTCTGATTTAAGAATTATTGCGCTCTGCCCCACTGTATGTGTGCTTATCAATAGTCGCTTGAGATTCAATTCGAGTATCAAGAATCAGATTTTTTAGGGCTGACTTTTTCTTTGATTTTTTAGCTTTAATTGAGTTCTGCTAGTTATTTTCCTTCTTAGACTCCTTAGGCGGTTTATTTCCGTCCTTTATTCGTGCGTTTGCTTGATCTTTCTCTTAAAGATCGACTTCCATGAATTATTAATTTATTAAATTTTACGCAGATAATTTTTATTTTGCTTAAACTCATTTTACTCATTTTTTGTAGAGCCAGTGGGGTTTTGGGGTTTTGGGG